GAATTTAGGTTGAGTATCTCTGCATTGCCAACTACCAGTAGTGCTTTATGAAGTATTTCTTTGAGGTTTTCTATTTGCTTTTTTAATCTGTTTGTTTAATTTCTTTAGTGTTTTTTTAAGTGACATGTAGAATTAAGCCATGGGATTGGACATTTTTAAAAGAAGTATTTGTTTCCATAAAACTACTAAGACATTTTCCTTTGGGGAAAAAAATAAAAGCAGAATTGCCACTGTGTCCATGAATAACTCTCAAATATTTGTCCTTTCATTCCGGGAACTTGCTTCCCAGGATAAGGAGCAATCAGGCCAATGTGGCAACCATTCCTCAGTTTGTATGTAGGGCTTCCTGAATTGAAAAGGGGACTAGATAAAGTGGAAGTCAATGTCTTCTCCAAGTTAGAGTTCTTAAACCTAGAATTTAATGCAAATCACTTATGTGTGAGATCTCTTAATTCATACATATATGATCACTCTTATATTAGCAGGGTAGTTGTTCTTGAGCATTCAGATGTAAGAAATAACACATTATTACTTTTAAATCATATTAATTGAAGCTCTAAGCTCTCACTCTAAGTGAAGAGGTGTGAAATGTAATCTTTTTTCAACACCCTGAGGTTATACAGATATCTGAAGGAATCACAAATAAGTTAAGGAATATCCTGCATCATCAGCCCACATTGGTTACTGCTGAGATACTTCTAGTATGAGTCATCCACTTTCCTCTAAAGTCAGTGGCTCCATTTCCTGGTGTACCGCTTCATATCCATGTGTTCCAGTAGCCACTTTCTTTCCTATCAGAGGTCGTCTCAGACTACTGCTCTGAAGCGGGAGGAAAGTTCCTATTATTTACACAATCTCCCCAGTCTTAAGGAGACCAATTTTCACTCTCTTTGGTGGACTGTTGCTATTTTTGTTGTTGTTAAGCTCCTTCAAGTTGGTTCCTACTTCTAAGGGCCTTTTTCCACGGTTTCCCAGGAGCTAATAGATCCGTGTCGGAAGAAGTACAGCCAGAGTGCTCCTTGGGAGCCAGGATGGCCAGACTTCATCTCTCATGCTTTGGACATGTTATCAGGAGGAACCAGTCACTGGAAAAGGATACCATGTTTGGTAAAGTGGAGGGTTGGAGAAAAAGGTGGAAGACCCCCAACAGGATGGATTGACACAGTGGCCGCATCAATGGGCTCAAACATAGCAATGATTGTGAAGTTGGCCCAGGATCAGGCAGTGTTTTGTTTTGTTGTGCATAAGGTCACTATGAGTCAGTACCAACTCCACGGCACCTAACAGCAACAACAACTAGTGGGTTTTGAACCACCCGCCTTTGGTTAACAGTCCACTGCTTATCCTACTATATCACATCAGGACCCCTAACAGTTGTAAATTCCCAGCACTGATCCTACCCCAAACACTAGCACCCCCTTCTCCCATGCACAAAAACAGACACACTAGAAAGATGGGTTTTAATCACCTTCTATGAATCCTAAGGTGTCCCACTGTGAGGCTGTAGGATAAGCACTGGGCCACAAGGTCAACAGTTCAGACTCACCAGTCGCTCATCATAAACCCTATACAGAGTCATTGAATTGAAATCAACTGGTCCACCCTTAACAATAACAACAACGTGAATCCCAAATAAAAAGCAGCCAAAAGAGTTTGCATCATCCCTGGAGGATATAGTAAAGTGGGGGAGGGTGTTAGTGAGACAGATGATGTGGTGATGGGTGACATATTAGGGAATCAGATTTTTTGAAATGCCATACAAATCTTTATTTTCTAGGACAGCAAATAGAGAAAATAAATGCTTTCTTTCTGTCCTAGTTGGTCAACAGTAGCAAATAACAAAAACACCAAGTAATGTTTTCCTTCATGTTGTTGTTGTTGTTAACTGTCATCGAGTTGGCTCTAACTCAGAGCTATCCTAGATAGGATTTCCAAAGGACAGCTGGTGGGTTTAAACCACCAACCTTGTGGTTAACAGTTTGGTGCTTATCTTACAATGCCACACTAGAACTCATCTGCCCTTTATATGTAGTCACCACAACAGGTCGTGTGCAATATGTACTGAATCTTGCAATGTACAAAGTACTGTGATGGGCTTTGAGTGTGCACCAGGGAACAAGATGCACATTGTATTTTGTCTTCATTGAGATGACAGTCCAATGTATGTCAGGTAAAACACACAATTTTAAATCCGGATCACTGCTTTGATAGAAAACAATACAGATGGGAGAAACAATTTACACAGTATTCAAAGAAAGTGGAGGCATGACTGCTGAGAAGGAATTAGCTGTATAACCACAAGGAATAATTTTCCAAGGAGTGGGATCATCACGAACAGCAAGCCCTGAAGAGCAAAAGAGTTTAGCAGGTTTAGGAAATGAAAAGTAGGTCAGTGTAGCTCCAGCCTAATGGGGAACAGGAAGAAAAATGTACTATAAGGATGCTGGGAATTTCCACCCAGAGCCATTAGGATGTAGCCATGGTTAGGAGTTTGAATTTCCTTCATAAAAAAGCTCTTAAGTTAAACTATGTAAGCTAATCTAAATTTTAAAAGATCACTCTAGTGATGTGAGTTCAGAGGACCTATACAGTTAGTACATATGCCCTTTTTAGCTGTTATTATTAGGTGTTGTCAGTCGGTCCTGACTCATAGTGACCCTATGCACAACAGAAGGAAATACTGCCCAGTCCTACAACATCTTCACAGTTACTGTGTTTGAGCTCATTGTTCCTGTCACTGTGTGAATCCATCTCACTGGGGACTCGTCCTCTTTTACATTGGACCCTTCACTTTACCAAACATGATGTCCTTCTCTAAGGACTGATCTCTCTTAACAACATGTCCAAAGAACAAAAGATAAAATCTCACCATCTTGGCTTCTAAAGACTCCTGGTGTAGTGCTGTAGGATCAGCACTAGATTGCGTACCACAGGTTGGCAGTTCAAACCTACTAACTGCTCCTCGGAAACCCTATGCAGGGTCGCTGAGTCAGAACTGACTCAATGACACTTAAACAAAGAGCATTGTGGCTATACTTTTAACCCTTTCTTTCTGGCTATACTTCTTATGAGACAAATTTGTTTTTTCTTCTGGCAGTCCATGATACTTTCATAATTCAAATGCATCCATTCTTCTCTAATCATTGTCCAACTTCAACATGCATGTGAAGCAATTGGAAATGCCATGACTTGTGTCAAAGCATACCTTAGTCTTCAAAGTAAAAGCTTTGTTCTTTAACACTCATTAACAATCTCTTGAGATATACACAAGGTATACAACCCTGCTTGCTAGAAACAAAGAGGACTTAACTGATGAAGATCAAAGACTACAGTCTTCAGTATGGATTGCACCTCAATGTAAAGAAAACAAAAATCCTCACTACTAGACTAAAACATAACATCATTATAAATGGGAAAAGATTGAAGTTGTCAACTTCATTTTGCTTGGATCCAGAATCAACACACATGGAAACAGCAGTCAAGATATCAAAAGATTTACATTAGTCAAATCTGCAGGAAAAGACCTCTTTAAAATCTTCAAGAGCAAAGATACCAGGTTGAGGAGTAATGTGACATTTTTAGAGATTTCAGTAAATCAGAATTTACTTTCATGTCACTTGTTGTTAACACTTGCATCATCATATCCACAAAATAGGAATAGGCAAGGGTTCGTGAATGAACAGCCTTTGGCCTTTCCTACGCTGGCCTCCTCCTTCCTACTTAAGGTGGGTCCCTCTGGAGGTGAAAGGAAGACATTGATTTAGAGTTGAAGCAAAACTTCACCTCTATGTCATTCTGCCAACCTGCCTCTCCTTTCCCATGCTGCTTTGTGTCAGTAGTGTTTTGGATAGTTTTGTTTTTGCCTACTGGGGACAGAGATAAGAAAAACTTGTTATTTTGCCAACCCTTTCCAGTTATTCACCCTGAATCTAAGTTTGTAATCTGTAAGAAGTTCTTTTGGGAAAACAAAACAAAACACCATCTTCCCTGCAATATCAAGTCAACAAATAATCTATTTAAAGTCTGCTTTATTTGTTATTGGATGCCTGATGTAATGCTGGGGGTTAATGTGCTGGACTGTAAAAGTCACTTTGAACTGCAAGTTCGGTGGTTCAAGCTCACTATCCACTCCTTGGAAACCCTATACAGGGTCGTTACGAGTTGGAAATGACTCAACAGTACTTAACAACAACCTTGTTATTGTGTGAGCCCATTCAAGATATAGTGATATATCATTTTTTTATTCTTTAGCCAAACTCTTAATAGCTGCATCTTCAAATATGAATGTATTTGTTTATTTAAAAAACAAGCATAGAGTAAAGTCCCTGAGTGAATCAAGCAGTTAAGTGCCTGACTACTAGCTAAAAGGTTCACACTTCAAACCCACTCAGGAGACAGGTTTGGTGATCTGCTTCTGAAAAGTTACAACCTTGAAAGTCCTTAGGAGCAGCTATACTCTGCACACGTGAGTTCACAATGAGTAGAATCAACCCCACAGCATTAGCTGCAAGAATTGTTAAGTGCCATCGAGTCATTTCCGACTCATCGTGAACCTGTCTAAGGTTTCCAAGTAGTAGCTGGTGAGTTTGCATTGCCAATCTTAGGTTCATAGTGTAGTGCTGATCCTACAATGCCACACCAGAAATCCAGCATCAAGAATAGAATGTCTAAAAATTATTAACTCCCCATCACCACCTATTGTTACTAGTATTATATGCATTCTACAGATAACTAAGGCACAGAGTGGTCAAATAAATGTAACTCAAAACCATGTTTTAAACCATGCCGTCTGTCTCCAGAATCTGTACTCTTAACTCTACATTTTATTATTTTTCCTTGTTATTAAGAAGGGACTTACTTAATTATTTCAACAGTTTGTTTTGTTTTTTTAAGGTGTAAATTCTACATCCACTCACTTGGTCTGCAAAGAGAAATTCTACCGAGTTCTCAAAAAGTACAAATTGCAAATGCTGATGATGATTTTTTTGTTTGTTTTGAAGGATTATTGGAACTTTGCAGAATTCCCCTGAGTTTTCAGAAGCTTTTCATTGCCGCAAGAACTCATACATGAATCGAGAGAACAAATGTCGGGTTTGGTGATCCTCAGGGGAAACTTGATAGCCCTTGCTTGGCTAGAATTGCCAGGACCCCAGAAACATGGAGTTCTATTGCAAGAGAATTGGCCTCGGAGATCCCTGCAATCACCTGGGATAGTTAACAGAGACAAGAGAACCTCAAAATGATGACTGCTTTAGAATCATAATAAAAGAAAGATTATTTTGAAAAATGTGTGGCTAGAGGAGGCAGTTTAATGTCTGTCAAATCAATCCTTTCTCCATGTGTAAATAATGCTTCATTTCTAACACTGGCTTTACCATTTATGTCTGTTTCTTATGTGGTCTGCCAGTTTGATGTTGTCACTTAGAAACAGTGTTACCTACTTGTTGATGTAGACTGGGATTTCTAATCAAAGACAGCAAGAAGATTTGGAGACGTGATAGTTAAAAAAGCATCACCTAAGTTCTTGCTTTTTAATTTTTATTTGCAACATTTATGCTCCTTAAAAACCTTTCCAAAGAACTCTTATACATATTGGGGCCTTGGAATTTAAGTAGTTTTAAATTAATTTTTCTAATAATCAGTTGCTCATTCTGAGATCATTTTGTTTTAAGAACTCTTACAGAAATGAATGTCAAAAACTATTTATGTTGAGCCTGCTTCGACTGATACGGAGATTCTTAAGGCCCACTGTCATTTTCTAAGAATTTATTCCTCATTCTCACTCAAAACTTGGCCTTTTTAAAAGATTTGTAGTAATGTATAAATAATAATTTTTATATTTAATAATTAAGTACACATATGACTAAATAACTGTTATTATAATCATTGACTATTGAAGTTTCAGGTAGAGTTCTTCTCTCTGAGGTAAATAGTTAGGAACCAAAATCTGTAAAGTGATATACAGATGAGGATTGAGACTATTTAAACTTATAAATCATATTGATGAAAAGCATTAAGCACAAACCTTGAGGTTAAAAAATGCCATTGGATAGATGTCTAGAGCTATGTAAACTACATTGTGGTTTACAAGCAGGGTGGTGAAAATGAAGTCTATCCCTGAGGGTTGCTATGGTACAAGGGCAATGTTACAACAATGTAGCTCCACATCTTCTCTTTTCAGGTTTGTGATCTGATGGAAATATTTTGATAATAAATTTAAATTGTGAGCCCATTACTCACTAAGCTTATTGTACCAGCTGTCTAGCTTTGGGAAGTGCATTTCTGAATAGAAATGGGATGCTTGGGTGCCTTCAGAAAGACCTGCTTCTAGAATTTGAACTTAAGTGGAGTTCTGGAAGGGGAGTATCTAGTTTTGAATGGAAGCTCCTCTCATGAGGGTGTTAAGCGTCTCTCTCCAGCCCCGTTGTCTCAATAAGGTCATTTCATTACTCCAAATGTCTGTATTTTACATAACATAGCATAAAATTGAGGGAGTTTTTATTCAAAATAAGGGTATTGGATTTCCTGCTGCTTGAAATATGCCCATTTACCTTTTTTTAAAAAATGCTACTGAAATATAACATATACAAGTATATGTGTACAGCCCAGCTTTCTCCCACTGAGCAGACCCCTGCATCCAGCACCTATAAGACACAGCATCACACTCAGCCTAGAAGTCCTCCCAGTCATTTCCCTCCTCCAAGGGCAACTGCCATCCTGACTTTTACCTAAAGGAGCTCTGGTAGCGTAGTGGTTATGAATCGGTCTGTGAACCACAAGGTCAGCAGTTCGAAACTACCAGCTGTTCTGTGGGAGAAAGATGAAGCTTTCTGCTCCCGTAAAGATTTACAGCCTTAGAAACCCTGTACAGGGTCGCTATGAGTTGGAACCAAATCCACGGCACACCAACCACCATACATTAGTTTTGTCTGTTTTTGTTCTTTATATAAATCAAATTAGTTAGTATGTGGTAATCTTTTGCATCTGGTTTCTTTCACTCAGCGTTGCATTTGAGAATCATCTTTACGGCTACATTCATCTATATTGCTGCATATGGTTCATTCATTTTTATTGCTAAATTATATTCTTCTGGGTGATGAGACTACAATTTATCCATACTGTTGTTGATGGGTACTTAAGAAGTTTCCAATTTAGGGCTATTACAAATAGTGCAACTGTGAGCAGGTTTGCATATTATGATCTTTTTTAGCCTGAGACTTTAATGGACTCATTTCCCCAAGTTCATCCTAAAATCATTGTAAATACTGAAAAAACAATTTCAAACTAACCATGACTATCCTTACCTTTTCCTCCTTTTACCACTGCCACCATGACATGGATATAGTATACTGTTGTCTATATTTCCTAAAAACAAATCTTAAATATACTAAAATAATGTGTGGTGCTGTTGGATAAACACTGAACTACTAACTACAAGGTTTATGGTTTAAACCCACCAGCCACTCCTTGGAAACCCTATACAGGGTTGCTATGAGTTGGAACCACCTCAACAGCACTTAATAGCAACAATATAAGGAGTCCTTGTATGGTACACACCGGACTGCTAACCACAAAGTCAGTCATGCAAACCTACCAGCTTCGTCATAGAAAGATGAGGTTTCTGTTCCATAAAGATGTACAGTCTTGGAAACACCATACAAGACCGTTAGGAGTCACAGTCAACTCATTGGCAGTTCGTTTTAAGTGATAAAAATAGTTGGATCAATAGACACTGCCAGCTCAAAATAGACCAACTGTCTCTTATTTATGTCATTCCTATCCCATCAGATCAGGTAGAGAATCAGAGTAAAGAATGATGAGTACAAATTGTAAGTAGGCACAAAGACTCTCCACTGATAGTTATTTAAACTATCAGGTACCCATACTTAGGGAGGGAATAAATTTATGGAGGAAAAAATCCCAGTGCCTAGATCCCCTCTCTTTGTAAACAATAAGATTTTCTGACACCAAAGGATAGAACCACATCAGAATACATGCACCTACCCATCCCTTGTACATGCAGGCCACGTTATACATGACACTCTTTCTTGAGTCATGGGGTCTTAGATTCCTTTCAATCTGTCAACTTAGGTAGTCATTCTCAATCATTTGGAGTTGTCACATCAGATAAGACAAATTGTAAGCTGAATTTGTAAATTGATTGACCGTGGCTGAGTTCTAGTTAAGGAAAGAGACTTTAGAAGTCAAGACACTAGCAGTTGGAATATCTTATACCAGGAACTGATGAAATTCATGGATGAAGATAACAAAAAGTTCTACGCAATACCTATTAATAAGAAGTTGGCTTCCATGCTGAAATGTCCATATGATCTTCAAGGCTCAAAGGATGTGATCCTTGGAGAACAGATTTGTTCTTACCTTATTCTAGTATCTCTCTTGACAAGGTGACCCTGGGCCTCTGCTTTTCCCATCTGAAAGCAAGAGAATTTGGTGTTATCTTTGGTTCTCAGCAAAAGAATTTTGTGTCCAATGCTACCTTACCCTTAACCTGCTCCCCAGTAAAAACTATTAGACAAGGTAACCTCAAAACTTCAATTAACATCCTGCATCCGTAAAAATCACATTTTAGTCCAAAGGACGAGTTCCAAAGTTTATTGAACGAGTCTGTGCTGTTAATGTTAGATACTTAGGTGTGAACCTATGTCGTTCCTATGGCCACAGATGGAACTCTCAAAGTAGAAGGTATCTATTGGTTTGGAAAGATAGTAAAACTCCACCTAAGAAAGATAGATAATCAGAAATTTTTTTTCCTCTAGGAAAAATGTAAAAAATGCATACTTTTTTTGTCTCGTCAGCTCTGTTCCAATCAGCTGTGTTTAAGTCCCCATCCCATTTACAGCTTGAAAATTGTTAAGCTATATTGGAGCTATTATCTGTGTAATAGTATACTCCCTGGTAGCCTAAAATTGAAAATTTTTTTAATTGAATAGCACAACCACATTTTTCCAAAGATAACCGTAGTTTTTAAAAAATTATTTATTTATTTATTTAACCACATTTTTCCAAAGATAACCGTAGTTTTTAAAAAATTATTTATTTTATTTTATTTCAAAATATTAGTGAGAAGTTAGGCAAAGAAGGTACAGAAAGGCACAAGCATAATCAAATGACAGGCAGCTGCCAAAAGTGTCCCTGTACATGGTCTTGGGGCTGAGGGACTTAACTTTGGGTTGATTAGGAAAGAGAAGAGCCACATGATCACTGTCAAAATGGCACA